GGGGGGGGGGGGGGGGGGGGGGGGGGGGGGGGGGGGGGGGGGGGGGGGTAGTGGTGCCTAAGGCGGGCCAATCAAGAGCCTGTTGGTGAAGGAACAAGGACGAACCTTGATTGATGGGCAGCAGGGAGGAAGCGGAAAAGGGCCGGGTATTGCGTTTCTCTCTTTATGTAGCTGCAAAAGCGCCAACCAAAAAAAACACGCGCCGCACAGCAGTCGAGCGGGGGGGGAAGATTTTGCTTCGCACCTGCCGCTGCTGCTAGCTGTCCTGACGAGGAACGAGAATATGGGGAGACGTTTCTTGCCGGAGTCCCCAAGGACGACGATCCCCTTGTGCGCCCGCAGCGTACTCAGGCCGAGCTCCGCCAGCGCTTCCTCCCGCTCCTTGAGTCAAAATGCGACAGGAGTGCCGCGTGTCAATGGCAGCAACAGCACCAACACCAGCAATAGAATCGTAACGACGAGGGTGGTGGGTACGTGTTCAGCTTAAACTACATTAAATATGGTTACTCCTTGTGAAAAAATCGAAATAATGAGATGGCAGTACGCGGAATACGTGCATGTCGTGAGCTGAGTTTGCGAGGGTTCACGCCACCCCAGCATTTTCAGCTCTCGAGCTTCTAAGGGCGCCACAGGCAGGCCGGCCGGCCGGCAGGCCGGCAGGCGTCTGCCATGGAGATTCGCCGACATGGCGAGACGATACAACTGTGCGATCGATGCCCTGCTTCCTTCTCAGCCACAAGGGTGTTATCTGAATCTGTCGTAACACAGATCTCGGACTGTTGCTACGGTGACGTTAACGAGTACAAGCACGATTGAGCGGTGTCCGCCCAAGACGAGACAACTACGTGAGCGACGCTGTCTTTTCGACGTCAAGGGCGTCCGTGGAGATAGACCGTGGAGCGCTGTTAAGGTGGTGTTTCACCGGTGCGAGCACGGTTGAGCGGTGTCCGCCAATCGGGTATTCCTAGGTATTCCTGCAGGACGAGCGGTGCAAGTTGCTTCTGCGCTTGGTTCCGTGGGGGTAGCTCTCTCCCCCCATTCTCGGGGTCCGCGTTGCCAAAACATTGACGGGCGCCTAAAGCAACAAATGCGTTTCTTCCGCTGGGTTGCTTCGTTCTTGAGAACCCCCCTGCTTGGGGCAGCACCCTAACCACGATAAATTCTTGCCTGCAGCTCCCGCCTGCCCATGCTCTCCTTCATCTGAACCGCAAGCCCCAGGCGAATGGAGCCCAGGATGTCCGGGGTCCCACCCTCTTCCCGTTCCTCCTTGTTGCTGGAGGGGAACGATTGAAAAAGGGGAAATGAACACCCACCGACGGTAAGTCGACAACAAACCAGACGATCAGAAACTGATGAACGTGACGTAACTATCCGCATGCCGCCAGACAACACCCCCGCGAAACAACTACAAATGACATGAAAACAAAGCATCGACGACAACCACAAAAGTTGAGAGGTGAACAATCGGTACCCGAGTGCAAGCGGGGTCAAATGTGTGAAAGATTCACGTGAGCCTGGAGTGTACATGCATATAGTGAACATAAGGGTTGCCATCCGCATCTATTGGACAGTCATTTACAGGGGAGATTAGGGGTGCGATGTCTTGTTACAGTCTGGCACATTGGTGCTGTTTCCAGCGATCCTAGCAGTGCATTGTTCCAGCACAGCAGTGAAAGATATTTCTTGATCTTCCGAAACTACGTCAGCCTTGGCGACAAGTCCTCCCTCCAAGCGAATCCGTCACGTTAAAACAAAGAAGAAAAAACGCACCTAAGGTAACGGTGGTCCTTCTCCGTCACGAAGAACACGGTGCCGCCGCCGACGGTGCCCGGGACGGCGTTGCACAGGAGGCGTTTCTTCACCACTAGCACCCCGGGGGTGCCCGGCCCTCCCACGAACTTGTGCCCGGAGAAAAAGATGGCATCCTTAGCCACCAAGGCCTGTATGTTGTTTTGGTTTGATTCGACAACAACGACGGGCGTTGATCAAAAGATGGGTTCGCTGCGCTAGGTCATCTCTAGTAGGGTGGTTGGGAGGGGCGAGGTGGCTGTGTGCGTGAACAGCGCCAGATAGTTTACAGAGGCGTTTATGTGGGAGGGGCGCGAGGGGCGTCCTCATGTTCTGCATGCCCTAGTTGCTGGACCATTGACCACGCGTCCTCGAGAGGACGGATCATTATCCCATAGAACCGACCACCGATGGCCATATCTTTCCTTCCTAGTTGCGCGCGGGGGGGGGGGGCG